CCTGGAGGTATTTAAAAGACAAGTAGAGGTGGCACTTAGGGACATGGTTTAGTGGTGGACTTAGCAGTGTTAGGTTAACGGTTGGACTCGATCCTAAGGGTCTTTTCCAACCTTAACGATTCTATGATTCTATGAAATTGTTACATTTGCTCAAAATCACTTTCAAAGGACCATTAGTTTCTTCAAAATGAATAGGTTTTGCATTTTAATATTAACGCTGTTTAATCATCTCTGTGGATTAGGAAACAATGTTGTTACCTTCTCAAAGTCTGTAAATAGTACTCTAACTTGCTAAAAGAACAGTTTTCACTCCGTTTCATCATTACTTCCTGCAGTTGTCAGGCTCAACTCTTAACAGCTCTCCAGGACCCAGCAGCACACAGCACTACTATAGGGAGAACCATCCTTCATCAATGCATAATGTTCCACTATTCCACAAGTTCAGATTTTTTTTTTTTTTTGCAAGTACAGATACTAGGAAAACCAGCAATTTAACCCTCTGAAATCTTAGCTTGCTGACTGCCTGCAGAGGATCACTACGAAACAAAAAAAGCTGGAAATAACCTGTGTATTATTAGGACTCAGCAAGCCATCACATCATTATTCTAATATTTTGCATGCTAGTAAAAATAAACTTACCTCTCCACAAACGCATCCAGTTTAGCCAGCTCATCTGACAAACCAACCAAAACATCCAGTGTGCCAACCTAGAAGGAAAGATCAAAATGCATTAGCGATTGTATATAAACATAGAAAGATAAAACCAAGTAACAATAAAAGCTAAGTCTCCTGAACACGTAGCTTTGCGGAACTACGTAAAATACCGTACTCTAAGACTTCAGACTTGTTGATTTAACAAAGTCATACTGTGTTTCATTTGCTCAAGATACCCCTAAAGCACCACTGTATCAGATCTAACTCACTCTAGTTTGGTGCACAGTTTCAGTCCTGCATTCCAGCCATCCAAAACATGTTAAAACAACTTTAACATTATGAATTGCCTACATTTCCAAGTCACTTGCTTCAGCATTTGATTTACTACTATAGATCAAATCTGAAATTTCTGTAATCAGGTATCTCAGTACTGGAAGCAACCAGAACGTTGAAAACTTTAAAGATACAAGAGTACTGCAGCAGTCAGACTGGCAAGAGTCTGGACTTTTTGCTTCTGGAGTAATGGAGTATCTAGCTTGTTTAAAAGCTTTCACTCTTTTCACCCTAATTTCATGTAATAATCTAGAATAATCTAATTTCATGTAATAATCTTTAATAATCTAATCAATACATATACCTCTCTGGGGCCAGGGATGACACTTACCATTTCAGACTCTGTATAATTCAAACATGAAAATGACAGCACAGTAAAATATTCTGTTTAGCTCTTTCATAAACAAGTCTCAAATGGGTCTAAGACATCAAAAAGTCTAAAAACAGTATAGCTATGCTCAAGTTAAAGAGCCAAAGGGTGATTGTTTTTAAATAGGTCATATAATATCAGTTTCTTTGGTTCTCTCTTCAAGTACTCACATATTTGTTCATTCTGTTCAATGAAAGTAGGAGATACCTCCAAAAAGATGACTCTTATCTTTAATATTTTAGCTACCAGTTTACATTTCTTGCTGAAATATTATTAGGTATAAGTGAACCTTCTGTCTAGTCAAGATGCTAGTAACATTATTTTTAGTCTAACATCTTTGTTCTACATATTTGACCACTCAACTTCACACAATTCCTGTTCTCTTTAGCCTTGAAGCAGAAAAGAGCACAACTACTTAAGTGACATCACAATCAAATCACTTTCCATGCCCCACCTTCTTCTGAGCTATATGCAGAATAAGGAAGCTAATGTTCTGACTAGTCACTTACAAGTCACAGGACAAGTAAGCCTTTCAGCAATAAGGCTGCTGTTCAATGGAAACTACATCACCCATTGAAAGAGTTTTAACTAAAGGATCTCACTCCATCAACAGTTTTACCAGGTCCACAGAAGTCAGACTATTTCCCATTGTATATAAAATATACTCAGCTTCTGCCCCTTTTAGGAAGTAGAGTAGAAATAAAAGCAATCGTTTACAACCCTAATGGGCCACATCAGTTTTCAGTGATAACTTTTCTAAATGTAGGCACCCTACAGTTTGGAAGGCGTCCTGACTCATGTCCAAGGATCTCCTGGGAGAAGACAGGCATTTGTTGTAGCCCCTCTTCTTACCTCTACTAGTGTATCTCTTGAAATAACTCAGGACAGCCTAAATGTGAAAGTAAATTATGGCAGCTGGAAGATCCTCTTAAAAGACACACTGAAGCGATTTGTGCCCTGGGCCCATGCTTTAGCAGAGACAGGAACAAGGCATCACGCCACCTGAACTTGATCCATTCTGTAGACAGAGGTTGGTGGCAATTTTTCCTCTTCATTTTAATATGCTTTGATGAGCTTTCACTCAGTTAAACTGAGCTCGCAATTCTTCTTGTTCAAGAAACATTCACGTGTTAGGATAGACCTTTTCCTAATGAATACACTGGCTCATAGCTTTTCCATACCCTGATAATTGTAACCAAGAGAAACTGCTTTCAGATTTTGTTTCTCTTCGCTTCTCACAGTAACAGTTCAAACAGTTTCCTTCCCATTTTCTGTAACACACATCAGCAGGTCACACTGGTGTGCTCAGCCAGCGACAACCACTACTCTAACAGAAGAATGTTACTTCTGGACAGAGAAAAGGAAGCAGCTGTTTGATCAACCCCTGTATTTTAAATGAACCTTTTTACTGCATCTCAGCCAGAAAAGGATTAGCAGACAGTTCAGAAGTAAAAAAAAAAAAAAAAAAAAAAGAAAGAAAGAAACAAAACAGAAAACCATCAAAGGAAACCATATCATCTGATCTAAATACTCAGATCACAAGTCTCCATTTTCCCTCTGATTTTCATCTCCAGCCACCTGCTAGCAGTATGACTACTGTCCCTGGAAAAATTGCTGTATTAGCTGAAAGAATGCAGCTTGCTGAACCTTTAAATTTACAGAGTAAAGAATTTTTAACTTCAAATTTCAGAAAAAAGATAATTGTTGTCTAAATTATTTTTTAGATCCACACATAATCATGAAAAAGTCAGCTGTTCTTTCTAAAAAGTCTGCAAGTATTCCCCATCTACAGTTTTAGCCTAAAGAAGCAAAGATGATGCAAACCAAACATAGTTCTTAGGACACGAAATGGGGCTTACATACCTTCAAGTCTGGAATATTGAACTTTGAATTAGTAGAAAGATTGTTATTTTTTGTAGTTGCTGCATGTAGTTTCTCCCATGTCTGTTGACAGGTTTTTTCCCCAGGAGCAGAAATCAGCCAAAACTCGGTCATTTTTGTGTCTTTATCTTGACACTTTCTGCTTCTGAAGATGGAGGCAAGATGCTAGTAGAAGGGAAGCGAGGCAGGGAGGGGGGGGAGAGAAAGAATATCTGCCATTAGTTCAAGACTCAAAGCTTTGCCTGAAGAAAAACATCTCATTCCATGTTACTGAAGAGCAGTTCCAGCTGCTGTAAGAGATTTTACCAAGAGCATCACATGGTTCCAAAATCATTTTTTCCTATCTTCCAAATCATATTTGCCCTGTTGGAAAGTCTTTTTAAACTGCCCATCCTGCAAGTTAAAGTGGGCCGAGTTTGCAACATTAGTTTCTTTCAACTGCAATTCCACAAAAGATTATAAGCAAACAATCTAAATGAAAACAAATCAGTAAAACAGGACCCAAATCATATTTTCACAGCTGTATATTTTTTCCAGCATCTGTACAGACAACTTTTTCTGAACACATAAGAGAAAAAACCCACAAACTTAAACTCTGACATTATAGTTTTTCTAATCGCTTTTCAGATTAAGACAGTGTTTTAAAGTGAGTAAATGCTTAAAAAATATTTAAATCCAATAAACTTTAGTTTATTCTTTCAAACAAAGAAGGTTCTCCTGGCAGCTAAAAATTGCAGCAAAAAGGAGGACACTTTCTAGTCTTGGTATCTCTGTTGTCATTGCAGACCCTCAATAACATTACACATACTGGCATTAGCCAAGAGAGTATTGGTACTAAATACAAATTATGTTGAGCCACTTTGCAAATGACCTCAAGAAGTTAAGAGTAGATATGTCCTTCTGTCAATAAGAAACAGAACAAGCTGGTTGAGAGTTACTTGATTTTTTTAATAAGGGAGTGAAGAACAAAATCAAATTGTACCTTGACAGAATCTAAATGTCACATTTTGACATTTGCAATGTCTTCTGTAGCAGCTTTGAAAGAGTGAAGACTAACCTACATTTCATAATGAGCACAGACTACAGCACTCAATTTATTTTTTTGGAGAGAGAATCAAATATTGTAATTTTAAGAATAAATACACAGTAGCAAACTTTGCCCAAAACGACACATATAGGTCTTTCATCTGTGTCATCATTGTAGGGTCAACAAGTTATCAAGGGTGTTGAAGTTAGAAATGAGCTAAAGAAAGGCCTGTTAGCTGATTCTTTTGTTCAGCTACTCAGGAAGCCTAAAGCTGAAGAAAGTTTACCAACCATTAAATTAATATCATGACGCACATCTTGTCACTGGCATAACAGCCACCCTCCTTCAATTAAGGGGCCTTGTTTATAATAAGAGATGATGACATCCAGTTATCGAGGCTCTTAATACCGCACACTCCATGATGTCTGACACTCCATTACCAGGTAGTAGCACAGCAGTGCTATTATCCTAAATACAGACAATGCCGAGGCAGGTAGAGGTATTTGAGAAATCAGAATATTTACAAGACCAGACACACGCCCCACTCCACACAAGCTTGTCCGGCCTGACCCAGCCCAGTTCTGGGCACCCTCCTGTGCTAGGGCCACGCATCTGCACAGCTGGTTTTATTCAACAGCAGAAAGTCGAGGACCTGGAAGTGATGTGTGCTCTCCTCACTGGCACTACTCTCTCTTCTACCCTAACAAGTTGCCAAAGCAGGTTGAAAGGAGAAAGGATAAGGAGTTCTTTGCTCCTGGAAATAGTATGGATGAGAAAAGGGGTCCTATCTCTGAGGAGAACAGGTGAAAAGCCTGGGTCTACTTCCCCCACCATGCTGTGGCCTTGACTGCTGGTGGGAGGTCCCCGAGAGCAGAATCAGAGAGGGGACTGAAACCCACGCCAACGGCCCCTCAGGCAGCACTGGCCCCTCATGCTCAAAAGCACATACTGTAACAATCCTTGGTCATACCATACTGATGATTTTGGTACCGGGAGGTATCATGAAAAATCAAAGCAACATCAGTCATCACCACTATTAACATAGCATGTTACAGGACTTCTTTGTTTAGGGAAGCACTAACCAGATGATCTCACATACTGGGTCTTCACGTGAGGTCTAATAATTATCAACAATTTGGAACAAGACAAAATTTCCTCTTATTCAGACTACTTTGATGCATTATCTTCCTTAACACATGCCAAAGTCAGTGAACCCATTGCACACGATGTTTGCCTACACTTCACTGAACCCTGGCCCTATAAAAGACACGGCCAAGTTTACAGTAAACTTCACCCACACAGGGAGACACCAGTACAGCTGACACACATACTCAAAGTATTTAAGCCTTAAATTGGTTTTTGTTTGTATTTTACTACACTAGGACTAGAAGTGGCTTTGGAATGAACATTGGATAAATAAGAGGAACTACTTCAAGCAGCAGCAGAGTACAAATATCCAAGTAAAACACAGAAGAGCCATAACATAGAAATCCAGGCTCCTATTCAGTAAAATGGATGGAACACTGCATTCTCATGTTTTCCACTAAAACATAAATAGCCCTTAAAGAATATGTATAAAGTTTCCAGAGATTATATCACCTAAGGAAACAGTTACATGTTTACGATGACACGGTCTCATTCCCTGCACTACAGATTGGGACAATCAGCTCACCATTAAAAATCTAAACATCTTTCCC